TACACTGGTATGTGTTTTCCTAATGTAGAGAGCATTGATTAATTAATAAACTACACACTGAGTCTAGATCCTGACCAAATCCTTTTTTATTGTTGATCAAATGTTTTTCAAAAATGTATTCATACACATTTAGAAAAATACAATGTACAATCACAACCAATACAGCACAAATTACAAAAAATACAGAAAAAACAAACAATAACAACAATCAGACAAGAGGACAAAACTATGGAAAAATAAACCCTCCCACCCCCAGATCCGGACCATCCTTGTATTATTGCTCATTCAATCTATTATAGCATGCTAACAAATAGTACTTACTTTATTTTTACAGATCTGCATGGGAGACGATGGCGTGATGCAGAGCGCTGTCTGTGATTGTGCACAGGAGATGTACAAATGCAGCCACGCTGCAGCATTGGCAATATTTGCCATGTGGCAGATCAGCTCCACAGATGTTGAGTGCCAGTGGAGGAAGCCTGGCACTTCCAAAGTAGTCCAGCCGGTGTCTCAACTAACAGCGAGAGGAGACATACAACCCACTGGCCAGAGACATCGCCAACTGTCAACTGGGGGGTTGTAAACGAGGCCGAAGGGGTGAAGGCTTTTGTGGAGGCCTATCAAGTGACAGTGTTCGAATCGAGTCTGGTCTCTTTGTGAGTGAGTCGGGTGTTCTGGGAGCATCACCCTTGTGCAGCCATCTGCCCTGCTGGAGGTGAAGTGTCCACACAGCCAGAGGAACATGACCATCACGGAGGCAGTCCAGTTACCATCCTTCTGTCTCCGTGAGGAGGGTGGGTCATATATTCTCAAGGAGAATCACCCATACTGGCATCAGGTCCAAGGGCAGCTGCACATCACAGACCGGAGTCTCTGCTACTTTGTTGTGTGGACCACGAAGGAGGCGATCATTATCCCCATCCCCAAAGACCCTGCATGGCATGGAAATCTCCTCCTCCTGGAACAATTCTACACCCAGCATATGCTCCCTGTGTTGGCCAGTAGAGAGGAGGACATTTAAATAAACATACTCTTAACACCCTCGGACTCTGCGTTGTGTTTCGTATGTGTGATGGGGTGTTATGCAGAGGGGAGGAAAACAGGACACAGCAGATTGGGATTGTGGTGGAGATGCTGAGCAGTTATTTAATTGTTGCATGTAATTATTATTATACTGCGTGCTTCTTAGTTATTCCATCTTTTGCTGTAACATGCATCTGTATGTAACTCTATATTTACTTATCTACCACACTTCCTTCTACATCATACACCATCATTATTCATGATGGTGTATATAGGATATATATATTTGTATACATATCTGTAAATTGTATAATTTTATTTAAACGTCTTTTTGATCTCTCAAACTGAGTAAGATTGACAATAAAGTTGACTTTGAAAAATATATATATTCTTTATGAAAATAGTTGACTGTTGTCAAATGAATCCAAATGAAACGTTGGACTGAACTACAACTACGCCTTTAAATCTCTACGGACTGTTTTTCAGTGGGATGGCAAGTTCCTATCTTTAAACATTTATTAGTTTTTTCTCAGAACAGATTTGATTTTCTGAAGTTAATTTAACTTTGCCGACCATGTAAGGTCATCATTAAAAGGTACAATCAATTTGTTTAGGGTTGACTAAAATAATGAAAAACATTCATTTGGATAATTTACTGACAGAATAAGAAACTCAATGATGCTCTACTCACCTGTTCCCTTTTTATAAAGTGAAACAGTTGAAACGATAGATTTTAGTAAACTTAAAAACAACCTTCTCCAAAAGCTATCAAGGAATATACCGAATACTTGTTTTAGAACTTTATTACATATTTTTATATAAATAGTTTGAATGATCCATAATTGACAGAAGCTTGTGTTTACACTGACCTGTTACTCATATATTAATGTCTTTGTAACTTCAGTAAACCACTACCTCACTAATTTCTTTCATTCATCACGGTTCAGTAAACTAAGTGATACATGAACCAGTTTAATCATTATAATAACGTAGGATTGCAACTCTTTGAAACTGTATGTGGCTCTTAAAAGAGCTGTTGTGTTTGGGTGTGCTGGTCTCAGGTCAGTCTAAGCCCTATCTCCGCGGATGCGGCGGGCCAGCTGGATGTCCTTGGGCATGATGGTGACCCTCTTTGCTTGGTTCATCTTACTGGGGGGCAGCTACATGGATGTCGGTGCAGTCCACAATCATTGCGCAGTTGAAGGCAGAATGAATTTATTATTGACTCCGAATGAAGCACAACTTCATGTCATACAATACAATGACTTTATTTGTAATTGTGTAAAAAAATATGAGCATTGATTAGCAAGCAGGACCTGCAGGAACAGAGAATGGTGATGGAGCTGGGAAGAGAGAAGAATAAAGAAAACAGATCAACTTTATTATCGGATATTAAAAATTCAATTTCAAAACAAGTTGCCGCTCCTACAGTTTTCTAGTATGTAAAGATGATTTCACATGACCTATGCAAAATATCACACTCAATACATGTGTGTCTCTGGGGGGTGCATTGTGCCTTTGATGTATATAAATAATATACCATAACCAAATACTATTACGTACAGTGGAAATCAGGTTGCCAGAGCAGGTCAGTGTGCATGTTCCTCAACGTCTCAGCAGTTACAGGTGAGGTAAAGAAAATAAAAGAGAAAAAGGTCAGTAACAACACTTTAAAGTAACAACACTTTGAATAATTATCTCTTCTAACAATTTTCTCTCAATAAGCACACAACGACTGTCTTTCCAACAAACAGATTGTCATCACAATGAAACACGTCCAGAAGAATGTCATGCAAAGCTCCATGCCTGCCTTCGACTCTCCCTGAACTGCTTCCTTAGCACCCGGTGGAGGGCGCAGTAGGCTTCAAAAGTTTCACGAAATACTTACCATCATGTTTGGTTACTGTTTAACATTTTGGTTTACTTCATGTAATAAAATAATAACTTCATGGTAAGGCTACTAAAAATGACAAGGCTAAGTAATGTAATGCTAACTAACGTGCTCGCTACTCGTCGCTACTAGCTAGGTAGCTAACTTGACTATGTTCCATGCACAACATGTATATTACCTATGATATTACCTGATATGTCTGATCCAGCGACTCCTGGTCCTTTCATCAGACGGGAATCGATAGAAGGAGCAAGTGGTATGATCACTTTTATGACTACAACCTGGTACAAAGCACACAGGCATCTTGTAAAAGTGAATTTATTTTTAGCGATCTATAATTTATTGGAGGGAATAAATCAGTTATGAGATCTTCTTCTTCTTCGCTTTAATTACGAGTCTTATTATAAATCACCGAGCATGCCTGTGACATCACTTACGCGACCCAGAATGGGATTTGGGATTTGTAGTCTTTGTAGTAGCGTATTTTTCATAGTTTTATATTTCAGCAGTTTTACGACAAAATGTGACTTTTTTGACATGGAAATGATTGTTTAAGATTGACAAACATCATATGTGTAGTTCGTGGCACAATTCAAACGGGATCAAAAGATACGTGTTCTCTCTCCATTGAATTCAATGTAAATTTTTCGCTTCCGGGGTCCCATGGTCCGGAAGTAGATGGGCGTGACTTCGCCTCTCCATAGCTCCTCCAGAGAGCCTCCTCGACGCTCGATCCTCGGTCCTCGGTGTGCATTTAGAGAAATGAGACGTCCTTCAAAATGGCACGCTGAAATTCATTTCCGGGTCACTACCCGAGGACCGAGGAGTCGAAGAGGGGAAATTTGAGTATTGAGAAGCCTCTAGAGACTCCCGCAGGACTCCAATGTCTGACGCTCCAGGAAAGAGCTACCTAAAATGGACGACTGATTGCTGAGTTCTCACAGCTGTGAGGCCACGCCCCTCTAATTAGTTAACTCTCTACAGCTGATGGGCGACAGCAGAGCGTCCCTGCCTATATTGTAATGCAGGGTTGAGTGACCCACTGAGACCTGTGTAACAGGTTCGGTTGAGCAGATCTGAGATTTAAAATCTCCCAAAAGCTTTTTTTTTATAATTCTCAACGTCTAGATTCAATATAATCCCCAAACAATCAAACTATTTTAAGGCTCAATTTGAGTCTTAAATGTACACTGTTTCCAGTCCCACAATGCACTGCTGGTCAAAACAACACAAAAAGAACTAAAGGACTGAGGAAGGTACAGGTGAAGATTGTTAGCTAAGATTAGCGTTTGCAGTAACGCATCTTGATTTACAATTTGACGTGATTCATGGGAGTGTTTTACAGCACACATGAACAGCCAGGAGAAGAGATAACCCTTAGATGCATAAGTGGGTCTTTTTTGACCCGGTGAGGTGGTTTTCTTATATCTTTGTAATTACATTTTTTTATCATTTCATATTCCAGCTATTCCTCAAAAAACACGTTTTGGATATCATGTCTTTCAAATTTTAAATGTACACTTTAAGAAATTGTAGTTTTTGTATTTCTACCACAAGCTTCCATAAGTGGGTCAAAAATAACCCGCATGCATTTTCTATGGAATTTCGTTGTTTTTTTTAAATGTAAAAAAAATGTCAAATTATAAATAGTGAAAAATTAAATATAAAATATTTCTAGTGTGAACCAAAATATAATACTAAATATTATACAAGTGATTTCTCTTCACCAAAATGACAAAAGTGGCATAAAAACACATATTATTCTAATGCGGGTCCTTTTTGACCCACTTATGGAAGAGCGTAGGGTCCAGTCACTCTAAGGGCATCTAAGGGTAACCTGAGTTATGTTTCTGTGCATTCTCGTGTCACTTTTGGTGCATTTCTTTGCTTTGCTTTTATACCCAACAGAGGGAAGGCTCACTAGAAGTGGAGAAGAGGAGGGAGGTTGTTTTCTAAGTAAAGGCATGATATTCATAGTAATAATTTTGTTTTAAAACTTAGTTAGTACATGAAGGAATCACAGAACACAGTGTAGATCTAAGATAAACATGTCTTTATTTGCACATATACAGTATAGAAATTTGGACTCAATGAATGCTGAAAACATATGTTATGTTAACAGCCACGCTAAATGAAAGTGGATTAAAATAAGTTATTCTGCGCACAGAATTATTAACCTGAGCTAAATCTGCAGTAGCTTCAACAACAAGCAATACATCTTAAAATCAGCTCTGAAACCTTCAGCTGGAAGACAATATGAGAAAGTAAACAAGCGTTAAAAACTCATTCCTGTTAGACTGAGTTCAAATCCAGCTGCGTAATGTCATAAATTATACGATAGATAATTCAGAATGACTGTTTAATCTTCCACTCCTGATGTGAAACATGAAGATGAATGTAGACGTTGTTGATCAGTTCGAGTCTGATGGAGGCAGAAGTGTTGCTCAAACTCCATCAGGAGGTCTGATGTTGTCATAGTTCACTGTACCATCATCTACACCATAACGCACCTGAGGAAAACAACAACAACACTGAATTGGTTACAAAGGAAGTAAACACAGTTCACAGTTTAGTCAGCAGACCCTGAACGCACCATCAGTTCATCCCTTCCTCCCAAAAACCCTTGAACGCTTCACCCTTTATTGCCCACTTCCCTTTTTCCATTAATCCGTCTATCACTACATTCCTCCTTCCTGACATCTCTTTAAACATCCCTTCAACCCTTCATCCCTGTATACATCTCTTAGATTCTTCATCCCTCCTTCCCTACATCCCTTCATACATTCATCCCTTCCTCCCTGTATCCATCTTTCCCTAAATCCCTTCATCCATTTAAACCTTTCATCCCTAATTCCCTTTGTCCCTTCATCCTTTTAGACCTCACTATACCTACATCCCTTCAACCACCCCTCAATTCTTTGAAAACTTCTCCCTTCATCCTCTCTCCCCGTCTCCCTCATCTCTTTCTATTTAAGTTTGATCTGATTCAACTGTTTACTGTCAACACGTTTGTCTTCTTATCCATAAAACTTACAATGTTTTCATCCGTCTGAGGTTTCTGTCCTGAAGAGGCAAAAGAGCATCAATGTAATCTTCCACAGTTAAAATCCAGGTTCATCAAAAGCTTGTTGTTCATAAAGTATAATGTGTGAATGTCCTCACCTTGAGTCCTCTTCCGTCTGCTGACAGCCACAGTGATTATTGTGAGTGCTGCAACAGCCACGATCACAACGATGATCCACCACCACCAACCTGGAAGAGGAATTCAAATCATAACATTTAGAGCTTAATAAAAAAGTACTTTTTGGTGATGATTCAGTTTTTCAGGTGTTTGTGTAACGGATTAACAAAACTCAACAAATCTTTAGTAGCTAAAGCGAATTCGGTTCAGAATTGATTTTAAACTCCTTTTATTTGTTTTCAAAGCCCTAAATGGGCTGGCTCCGGCCTATATAGCTGAACTCCTCCATCGCTACACCCCAGCCAGAGCTTTAAGGTCGGCTGACCAGCTGCTGCTGATAGTGCCTAAGACCAGGCTCAAAACCCGAGGGCATGAGCCTTCGCAGCAGCTGGCCCCAGGCTCTGGAACACTCTGCCCCTCCATGTGAGGTCAGCCCAGACCCTAGGGTTTTTAAATCTACTCTAAAGACTCACTTCTTCTCCCTGGCCTTCTAGTCAGAGCGCAGCACGACACCTGACTTTTCCCTGTGTTTTTTATCTGTTGTAATTTATTGTCTTTTATTGTGATTCTAGTAATGTGTTTTTATTACATGTACAGCACTTTGGCTCGACTAAAAATCACTTTTAAATGTGTTTTATAAATAAAACTTGATTTGATTTGATAAACATGTTCTCCCCAGAGGACTGAAGGCTGAACGTTATCTAAATGTAATCACGTTGAACGCAAATCAGTGCAAAGATGTGATGTTTTTTCTCATGAAAATGTATTTCCTCATTTAAAAAAAGCAGCTTAAGACAAACCAATTAAGAGTCTTTGATTAAGAGAACGATTTTTAATCAATCAATATTCATATATAAATATATAAATCAATAATCATTTACTTTAATGTCAGACCAGTGTTGTTATAAAAGTGAGTTAATTAAACTAATTTCCATTAAGAAAACAAAGAATAACCTGTAGCATCTTCAGTGATCACAGAAGCTGTCGTAGGGAAACCTGATCTGGAGTCGCTCTCTGTTGTTGCTGTTGTTGTTGCTGCTGCTGCTGTGTCCTCACCTGAACAGATGAACAAAGATCAACAAATGTTTCATTTGAAAACTGTCTAATGGGTAATTTATATTGTGATGTAATAATAAAACTTCAAATCAGTGAATAAGTAAAAGTATATGAGTTAATGACGTTTAAACAGCTCAGCATGTTCTCACCTGAGGACTGAAGGCTGAAGGTCTGCACGTTGCCATCAGCTGTTACTTCACAAGAAAATAAATCAGACCTTGATGTGTTACTAAAATGAGAAGTCAGAAATGTCACAGAGGCAGAGCAGTAGGATGCTGATGTTTTTATATCGCTGTTGTCTTCATCCACATCTTGACCCTGAAGCAGCCACTTCACTGTGAGTCTACGCTCCCAATATGTCGTCACAGAGCAGAGTAACGTCACCTCATCGTTGTTCTGATGCTCAGTCACTGAAGATGGAGATATGTGAGAGAAAGATAATAATTAACTTCACCACTGTAATAATAATAATTGTAATGTTTTAGTATTTTGCTCTACAGAGAAAGTTTGGAAACATTATGATGGAAATACTCACTGGTAACAACAGACAGAAGAACCTGAGAGCCTGGACCTTGTTGTGCTCCTGATCTGTTGTACTGTCTGCAGGTGTAACTACCAGTATCCTCCTCTGTGACCTTCTTTACAACCAGAGAACAATTCTCTGTAACTCTCAGTCTGTCCAAAATCTGCCCACGTCTAACCAGCTCTACTTTGCTTCCTGAATTACTGAAGAACCATGAAGTACCATCACATTCATCCTGATCATGAATCACATAGTTACACTGCAAAGTGGCTTCATCTCCAGCTCTGACAGAGAGGATGAGGAGATGCTGTCCAATTGCAGCCCCTGAATAAACAAGAGAGAAATATAAAGAATACAGAGAAATAAAAATGTTTATTTAAGACAACAAAAGTTTCCCAATGTGTTCTAAAGTTGCCTTCCCCTCGTTGGAAGACAAACACACCACTTCTCTGTCTTTGTTAAAAGGAGGTTAGGTAATAAAGTAACATTCATGATGAATACATTACCGTTGTGTTTCTAAATGTCATATACTGTACATGTTGTAGGAATGCTTACCTGTAAACTGAAGCAGCAGAATGAGAAATAAAGACATTTTAATCCGTTTGAACTCATCCATCTTGATTCTCTGTCTCTCGGCTTCCTCTATCTCTTGTTCTGATGAAATGTTCCTGAAACAATGCTTTAGCTGAGAGATGCTGCAACTGCTTCCTGTGTTAAGTATGATGCCTCCTCCTCAAAGTGAATCTATGTAACCGGTGTCGATTAGCGGTGTCTGCGTTGTGTTGATGTTGTTGATGGATGAGACCCGAGCCAGCATACAGTCGAGGCGATCTCCGTTTAGTCACTGACTATATACAACACATCAGTATTCAATTAGTCATCCCTCACAATGACTGCTCTCACGTGAAACACATTCACAAAAAGGGAAGAGGAAACGTAGAACGTACCTGACAATATAAAATAAATTAGTGTTCAATTAGTTATCCCTCACACTGACTGCTCTCACGTGAAACACATTCACAAAAAGGGAAGAGGAAACGTAGAACGTACCTGACAATATAAAATAAATTAGTGTTCAATTAGTTATCCCTCACACTGACTGCTCTCACGTGAAACACATTCACAAAAAGGGAAGAGGAGAATGTGAGGGACACGATATGTAGAGGGGAAGTCCCCACAACAATAATCTTCTGTGTACAGTGACTGAATTCTGGAGGTTCAGCCCACTGATACCAGTCAGGTATTAAACGTTTAAAAAATAAAGAACACAGAATTATTAAATACAAAACACAGAATTTGTGTGATTATACTAAATGATTTATAAATACATATTTAACACTAAACACCACTGCATATTTACAACTGTTACATTTAGACTATCTGGGATGTTTGTTGGTCTTCATTTCTTGTCGATTTCCAAACAGCCTAACATCGTTTTAAAGCGTTTTTTTTTCTATAATTAAAATGTATCTCAATGTCTAGATTCAATATAATCCGAAACAATCAAACTATTTTAAGGCTCAATTTGAGTCTTAAAGGTCACCTATCATGCTATTTGTAGGTCTCAGATATATACAAATATATAAAAACCATGTCTATGAAGTGTCTTGCTCAAAATACCAAACATATCACCCATTCTAGCCAAGCCTCATATCCCTCTATTTCACTTCCTGTTTCTAAAGTGCTGATTTTGGGTATAAAGCTGAGCTCATGCGGGACCCGGCAGCGACTGTCCAAACTAAATACTGCCGTGATGAAACGCCATATATGGGGCGAAGCCTGCGAGCTAGTTCAGGCAGTCAACTCGAGCACTTATGCTGCATTCATACATAACGCCCCTTGCCACTCTACAACAAACCAAACAGAGTCTCCTTAATTTGCCGCTCTATTTAACCTACCAGATATCTCTCTAAGCATTGCTTCCTGCTGTTATTGCTGCAGCTACTTCCACGTCGCTGCTGCTTGCCTGCCCCACCACCACCCCAGCTTCCACCTGTAGGCTCGGGGGGTTAGTTATTTAATCATCACTCATCGTGCTATGTATATCTGTGGAGTGATGAGGCCCGAGCCTAGACGCCAAACTCAACTATATATATATATATATATATATATATATATATATATATATATCAGTGGCGAGCCGTGACTTTTATACCTAGGCCCTCTGACCCCCCTTCCCTCGAAAGAAAAGAAGAGATATTACGTCACAGCGTATACTTCAGCGGAATATTAAAACAGCGGCCCAGGGTGCAAAACGCATCAATGACAGCGACCCTCTACCACACAAAACAACACCATTTATATAAACACCTATCATGACAGGCTCCCTTACTTACAGCCAAGTAACAATTGCAAATGAATGATGTCGGCACGGCGGCCCACATTGAAAATGACTTAGGCCTACCTTTGATGATCAAATCACTTAAACACAAAGTCCATCCTCCTGTCCTTTTGGATGAAGCACTTGATGGCGGGTCATGCAGCTGATCCTTTGCCACTCCAGTTTATCATTGTAACTCAATCTTGAAATGACTCGGTTAATAATTTCTAGGGATGCTCCGATCGATCGGTCACCGATCGATATCGGCCGATACTCACTCTCTACCGATCGATCGGTGCTCTCTAAACATGCCGATCGCGAGAGCCGATCGCATGACGTAAAATACATGACACTTTTCTCTGTGTGCGGCAAAACAAGCTCGCCAAAATGGCTTCTCCGGTCTGGCATTATTTTAAGGTGTCCGAAAAAGACAGTAAAATAGCGGTATGCAACGTGTGTGAAGCAGTGCTTGAATTGGAATGAAAAAGGTGCCAGTACTATAAAATCAGCAACTTTTTCAAGTCAATTTTATATATACAGCCCACAAACAAGAATTTGGCTACTATAATGCTGGTGGGTTTGTCTCTTTACTACTGTATATTTTAGAAAGGTTCACTGTACTTAACATTTTTTATGATAGGCAGCGGATATGGCTAAAGCTCAGTAAGGTCAATATTAACTGGAAATATAGCAATCAAAGTCTAGATCTCTGCTGAAGACACATGAAGCAGAGACCTTTCAGGTGAGAGCCCCTCTGGTGGTGTTCAACATTAATGACAAGGAAACAAAGCTCTGGTCAGAAGCATTTTTTATAAAAAGCTTTAACAAAATTAAGTATTTCTGTACATTTTGAATGCAATCTAACTTTCCAACTCAGAAAACGAAAAACGAAAAAGTGCCAAAAGTCTTCTCACATGGCTGAGCTGCTTTGCAATATACTTCACCACTGAAGAATACAAATATGTATAAAGTAAACTATGATGCAATCTAACTTTCCAACTCAGAAAAATGATAAAGAGCATGAACAAAGAACATGTAAAAACAAATGCAAAATTTGCACAATCTAAAATGAGAAACTGCAGCTGCAAGTAACAAAGTCTGAGCCATGGTAAAGAGTTACATTGAACACCAAGCTGATCAGATAACTCCCTGGTTGGTCTGAAGTCCTTCTATCTCCAGGATCTGTACAAATCGGCACATTATGCCAAAAGTCTTCTCACTGGGTGAGCTGCTTTGCAATATACTTCACATTGTTAGAAAAGGCTCCAGAAGGCCTTGGGGACATCAGTATCAGGGGCTGGAGCTGGACAGGCTCTTTCATCAGCACTTCTCCTTCCCTTTGCCAGCCAGGACCTCACATACTGTTCCGGATTGAACTGTCCTAGTGATGGTCCATTACATTTAATGAAAACCAGGCTGGACAGTCGGCTGACAGAGAGAGCATTCCTTTTGCAGTAAGGATATCGTTCATGCAGCTGAATGCCCGCTCACACTCACTAGTGGAGACAGCGATGGTTCGGACTGCTTTCAGTAGAGGCTCCATGGCAGCAGGTGTACGGGATGCCCTGGTTTCCTTGTATTCGCGAAAGCCCTGAACAGTCTCTCTTCTGTCCACTTTCAGCACTTCGCACAAACGTAGCACCTCTACGTCCCCATACTGTACGTCTAACTCCTCTTCAGGCCAACTTCCAGGATGGATAACTTTCATGTCCTGGATTAGCTGATTGTCCCGGGCCTCCCGGCCATGTAATGGGATTTCTCTTGTGCTGACATGAGAGGAGGTTGTGGAAGTAATTCTGTGTCTCAGATTCTCTACCATACTGCGGAAAAACTGACCTGCATGAATCTGTACAAGCCTGCCATTCTCACGCAGGGCAACACCCTTGAAGGACTTCTCAGCTAGAGCTGTATGAACTGTAGTCATGTGTGGGCCAGGCATGGTGACTATGGATTCAAAAACTCGTATTTCTCGAGTTAAGAGCCTATCTGCTGTAGGCAGTGTCATCTCTCTTTTTTGGAGTTGCCGAGAGAGGTCGCTGAGCTCTGTGAGCGCATCGTACATCAGTCCCAGATTGCTGACAAACGTTGCAGATGTGAGCACATCATCCAGGCCCTTGTACTTTGCTCTGTCTCTGGAATCCCTGCTCGTGTCGTTTGCAACATTTGTGAAGTGATCATGAAGCACTCGGTAGTTTTCCCAGACTGCTCTGACGCTCCTTTCACTTGAAGCCACCCAGCGGATGGACAAAACACGCCCTATCACCAGGAGACGCTGTCCGACTGCTTGCGCACACTGCGCTAACTGCCTCTGATTTTTGGGGGAGGCATGGAACAAGGAATAGAGTTTGTCAAAAAAGATCTGGAAATGATTGAGCCCTGAGACCTCCTTGACCACATCCCCAACTGCCAGCTCTAGACGATGATTGGAGCAGTGCCACACAAACAGGCTTGGGAATTTACTACACAACTGGGTAGCAACGCCTGTTCTCTTCCTTAGCATGACTGAAGCCCCATCACATGCAAAAGAAACGAAACACTGACCTAAAAAGTCCTCGTTAAAATCTCTTCCAAGACACTCCATTAACGCCTTTGTGATGTCATCAGCCGTTGTTCCATCCAACTCGATCAGCTCCCAAAAAAACGTTTCGGGCTCAGCATTAGCTGATGCTGAGCGTAGACACACAACAAGCACCGTTTTACCACTAATAGTGGTAGATTCATCGACCAAAAACACAGAGTTTTCTTTGGTTTTCTGTAATGTCTTTTGCCATTTTTTTCTTCAGCTCATGAGCTATGTGGTCGATGATTTCGCCACAGGTTTTATTGGAGTGCAAAACCCTGCCCACGTTCAGCCCATTCAGTTTCTGTACATTCAAATCAATTGGCATGTCTGTGAATGGCCGGCTATGTTTGCCAATTTTATATGCCCTTCGAAAAACTCTGATAGTGGTGTCTAATTCAGATTTATGCATAGACTGCACTTGATGTTGAATAGTTTCACATGAAGCAGATGTAAGGATGTCAGCAGCTTTTAC